TCAAAGATGCATCATAGATGGAACATAGATGAATCAAAGATGGATCATTGATGCATCATAGATGCATCAAAGATGGATCATTGATGCATCATAGATGAATCATAGATGCATCATAGATGCATCAAAGATGGATCATTGATGCATCATAGATGCATCAAAGATGGATCATTGATGCATCATAGATGAATCATAGATGCATCATAGATGCATCAAAAGATGGATCATTGATGCATCATAGATGCATCAAAGATGGATCATTGATGCATCATAGATGAATCATAGATGCATCAAAGATGGATCATTGATGCATCATAGATGCATCAAAGATGGATCATTGATGCATCATAGATGAATCATAGATGCATCATAGATGCATCAAAGATGGATCATTGGTGCATCATAGATGAATCATAGATGCATCATAGATGTATCAAAGATGGATCATTGATGCATCAAAGATGGATCATTGATGCATCATAGATGCATCAAAGATGGATCATTGATGCATCATAGATGAATCATAGATGCATCATTGATGCATCATAGATGCATCAAAGATGGATCATTGATGCATCATAGATGAATCATAGGTGCATCATAGATGCATCAAAGGATGGATCATTGATGCATCATAGATGCATCAAAGATGGATCATTGATGAATCATAGATGCATCATAGATGCATCAAAGATGGATCATTGATGCATCATAGATGCATCAAAGATGGATCATTGATGCATCATAGATGAATCATAGATGCATCATAGATGCATCAAAGGATGGATCATTGATGCATCATAGATGCATCAAAGATGGATCATTGATGCATCATAGATGAATCATAGATGCATCATAGATGCATCAAAGATGGATCATTGATGCATCATAGATGCATCAAAGATGGATCATTGATGCATCATAGATGCATCAAAGATGGATCATTGATGCATCATAGATGAATCATAGATGCATCATAGATGCATCAAAGATGGATCATTGATGCATCATAGATGCATCAAAGATGGATCATTGATGCATCATAGATGCATCAAAGATGGATCATTGATGCATCATAGATGAATCATAGATGCATCATAGATGCATCAAAGGATGGATCATTGATGCATCATAGATTCATCAAAGATGGATCATTGATGCATCATAGATAAATCATAGATGCATCATAGATGCATCAAAGATGGATCATTGATGCATCATAGATGCATCAAAGATGGATCATTGATGCATCATAGATGCATCAAAGATGGATCATTGATGCATCATAGATGCATCAAAGATGGATCATTGATGCATCATAGATGAATCATAGATGCATCATAGATGAATCATAGATGCATCATAGATGCATCAAAGATGGATCATTGATGCATCATAGATGCATCAAAGATGGATCATTAATGCATCAAAGATGGATCATTAATGCATCATAGATGAATCATAGATGCATCATAGATGCATCAAAGATGGATCATTGATGCATCAAAGATGGATCATTGATGCATCATAGATGAATCATAGATGCATCATAGATGCATCATAGATGCATCAAAGGATGGATCATTGATGCATCATAGATGCATCAAAGATGGATCATAGATGAATCATAGATGCATCATAGATGCATCAAAGATGGATCATTGATGCATCATAGATGCATCAAACATGGATCATTGATGCATCATAGATGAATCATAGATGCATCATAGATGCATCAAAGGATGGATCATTGATGCATCATAGATGCATCAAAGATGGATCATTGATGCATCATAAATGAATCATAGATGCATCATAGATGCATCAAAGATGGATCATTGATGCATCATAGATGAATCATAGATGCATCATAGATGCATCAAAGGATGGATCTTTGATGCATCATAGATGCATCAAAGATGGATCATTGATGCATCATAGATGAATCATAGATGCATCATAGATGCATCAATGAATGATCCATCTTTGATGCATCTATGATGCATCAATGATCCATCTTTGATGCATCTATGATGCATCAAAGATCCATCCTTTGATGCATCTATGATGCATCTATGATTCATCTATGATGCATCAATGATCCATCTTTGATGCATCAATGATCCATCTTTGATCATTGATGATCCTACTCCCACTCCTGAAGATATTCAAGATGATAAAATTACTTCACTGCAAGAAAAAATTTCTGATTATTTTGTTGAGATTCAGTCAAACTGTAGTTTGTTACTTCCACCAGTTAAACTTGAAGAGTCACGCCTAAATGACTCTACTTCCGAGGTAGGCCCTACTACTCCTACAGTTAATCTGACTGTGAAATTGCCGCAAATCAAACTGCCAACATTCTCTGGCAATCCTGAGCAATGGGTCTCATTTCATGGCCTGTTTGAAAGTACTGTACATAATAATAAAACAATTTCTAATGTTGAGAAATTCTCATATCTCATAAGCTGTCTTTCAGATGAACCTTTGAACTTAGTTAAGTCTATACCACTAAATAGTGCTAATTATGTAATTGCTTGGCAAACCCTGCTTAAGAGGTACCACAATACAAGGCTCTTGATTTCATTACATTCTACTAACATCTTGGACCTACCGCAGCTTACTAAGCCTAATGTTACACAACTTAGGAATTTTATTTCAATTTTTAATGGAAATCAGCAAGCTCTTAAAGCACTTGGCCATAACATAACTGATGACAACCTGATCTTAAGTACACATATTTTGAGAAAGCTTGATTCCGCTATGCGTTCAGATTTTGAACAAAAACGAGATGACTCAAAACAGGTTCCTTCTGTCACAGAAATAATAAACTTTCTGGAAAATGAGTGTTCTTACAGAGAGGCGGCTAACTTAGGCTCGACCTCACATGCTAATTCTTCCCTTCAGTTAAAAAACTATGGAAGTAGTAAGAACATGCCTTATCTAGGTAGGCAAACCGCTAGTCCCAAGCCAAGCAAAGTTGTAATGCTTTCTTCTAATGACAATGAACAAGCTCATACTTGTGCTTACTGCAATGGAGCATCGCATAACATTTTTCGCTGTGATGTTTTTGGTGCCTTATCACCACACGATAGGTTCAACTTCATTAAGAACAATAGCCTATGTGTTAATTGTTTAGGACGACATTTCTTAGGCTCATGTAAGTCATCCAGTTCGTGTCGAGTTTGTTTTAAGCGACACCATACGCTACTGCATTTTTACAAAACGGACCAGCCTATAATGAAAAAATCTGTTAAGCCCTCGAATAAGACTCAGGCCAATTCCACAACACAATTGAAGGCTCCTGTACCGCAAGGATTTGAATCAAATACACTCTCTGCTCATGTAGACACTGGTGCTGCCAGCCACAACTGTACTGTACTTCTTGCCACTGCATTGGTAAAAATTTCTACCTCGAATGGTCATAATATTATTGTCCGAGCTGTGCTTGATAGTGCATCACAAACGAGTATAATATCTGAACACTGTGCCAGTATGATTCACATTCAGCGTTCGTCTGTTGGCGTTCACGAGATAAAGGGCATTGCCTCAGCTCGAATAAAGCCTAAGGGACTTTCCTTTGTAAATATTTCTTCGCTTAACGGGAAAACACTTGCTACGGCACATCCTGTCCTCATACTTGATAGAATTACCAATGATATGCCTAGTGTCAAGATATCTTCTGAAATAAAGGCTCAAATCAAAGAATACGCACTTGCCGATCCCAACTTCGACACTCCTGGACATTTGCTCATCGGTGCGGATCTGTTTGCTCAAACTATTATTGGATCTGCCACCAGTCTTGGTGATCGTATGCCATACACTATAAACACTATTTTTGGATATGTTGTCCTTGGGAACGTGCCTACTTCACAAGACGGCCAAACCTTCAGTGGATTGACGACTATACTTTCCATCAATGATCTTACACTTCATGAAACACTTCAGCGATTTTGGGCATTGGAAGAACCACCTGCTTGTTCTAAGCTATCCCCAGAGGAAATGGAATGTGAAGATCATTTTTTGAAAACTCACTCTCGTGACGAGACGGGAAGATATGTTTGTTGTTTACCGTTCAAAGAAAATCCAGTAAAACTAGGAAATTCTTCTACAGTTGCTTTACAAACTTTCAAATCGCTTGAACGTAAGTTTCAATCGCAACCTGATTTCAAAGAAAAGTACATTGAATTTATGAATGACTACGAATCCTCTGGTCAAATGAAACCCTCAAACTTATTTGATCTAAATAACCAATATCATTGCTTCTTACCACACCACGGTGTCTTTAAGGATGGAAAGATACGTGTTGTATTTAATGCGTCCTCTCAAACTTCAACTGGTGTAACACTTAACAGTCTACAGCATCAAGGACCCAAGTTACATAATTAAATAACAGACATAATTCTACGTTTTCGTCAAAATAGGATCGCCTTTGCTTGTGATATCAAACAGATGTTCCGTATGATCTCTATTCATGAACAAGACCAACGTTTTCAACTCATCTATTGGAGAGAAGAAATGTCACAGCCGCTTCGAGTTTTTCAGTTGACAACCGTTACTTATGGTATGACTTCTTCGCCATTTTTGGCTTTTCGAGTAATACAACAATTAATTCATGATGAAGGAAAGAATCATGAACTTGCTGCTCATGCACTTAAACGACAAATTTACGTAGACGATGCGCTACTAGGCAGCGATACTGTTGAAGAAGCTGCAAAATTACAGCAAGATGTAATAAACCTTTTACGAAAAGGAGGCTTTGAACTTCGCAAATGGGCGTCTAACAATAGCCAAATATTGGAAAATTTACCCCCTCAACACTGCTTATCAACTGACTCACCTTGTGTTAGTATTCTTGGACTGAAGTGGAATCCACACTCAGACACATTCTCATATGCAATTTCTGAAGCTCCATTGATTTTTACCAAAAGAGCAATTTTGTCTTCCATCGCTAAGATGGACAAGATGCTCCAACAACAAGACAACAACAAGATGTAACAGGCATGCTTACCCCTGTTATTTTTTGGGCTAAGGCTCTCATGCAGCATATATGGTCACTAGGCCTAGATTGGGATAATACTCTTCCTAGTGATATTATCGACAGATGGTCAACTTTTGTCAACGAACTTCCTGAGATTGAAAATTTGGAGATTGGCAGGTACATATCTCTGAGTGATGCGGTTAATATTCAGTTGCATGGATTTTCAGATGCAAGTGAACTCGGTTTTGCTGGATGTGTTTATCTACGAACTGAGAACCCGCAAGGCAGTATATATGTCAACTTATTAATAGCCAAGTCACGTGTGGCACCCCTGAAACGTATCACGATTCCTCGCCTTGAACTGTGCGGAGCACATATTTTAGCCAAACTGTTACACTACTGTGTTGATCAACTCTCAGATCGCTACAAGATAGATTCTGTTACCGCTTGGAGTGACTCCACTGTGGCTCTTTCATGGATTCACACCCCTTCTCATCGTTTGAAGTTATATGTTGCAAATCGTGTTGCACAGATTCAAGAATTGACCCCTTCCTGCATATGGAAACACATTTCTACTCTTGAAAACCCCGCTGATGTTGCCTCTAGAGGATTAACCCCATCTCTTCTTATTCATAACAAGCTCTGGTGGTCTGGACCCACATGGCTTAAGAGTTCATCTGATTCATGGCCTCAACCATCGAGTCATCTTCCCGAAGAGGAACTCCCAGAAATTAAAACCACAACACTAAATCTTCTTACGATAGCTGAAGATCAAGATCTGAAGTTTATCAATAAATTCTCTTCATGGACTAAACTACTTCATGTCATGGGCTACGTTTTACGTTTTATTTCCTGCTTGAAAACTAAGCAAAGGATTACTCATTCTCTCACACTTGAAGAGTTAGAAGTATCGAACAAACGGATTTGTTGGCTTGTTCAAAGAGAGAGTTTCTCTGAGGATATTAATTCCCTGTCAAAGAAGAATGTGTGTTCTTCTCGCATTCAACGCCTTTCACCGTTTATGGATGATGAAGGTTTGTTAAGAGTTGGAGGACGACTGAAACATTCTGAGTTGCCGTACAGCGCCAAGCATCAAATTATCTTACCAAAGGATCATTTTGTTGTAAATTTGATAATTGATTATCATCATCGCATCTTTCTTCACTGTGGACCAACACAACTCCAAGCTGTTCTTCGTGAGAAATATTGGATACTTTCTGCTCGTAGTATCATACGCTCCAGGATTTTTAAACGCCTGAGATGTTTCAGAATGAAACCTAAGCCAAACACACCATTGATGGGAGACTTACCTTCCCCAAGAGTGGTAGCAACCCGACCTTTTAATGTTACTGGAGTCGACTATGCCGGACCATTTACAGTGAAATTGTATGTCCTAAAAAGGCTTCAGCCTATTAAAGTTTATCTTTGTCTATTTGTCTGCTTTGCAACGAAAGCCGTACACTTAGAAGTTGTGTCGGATTTGTCCTCAGAAGCTTATATAGCAGCTCTTACACGTTTTATTTCCAGACGTGGTTCAGTGAAGGAAATTCATAGTGATTGTGGAACCAACTTTGTCGGAGCAGCTGCTGCACTTCACAAATGTTTTAACAACCTCCTTTGCAATCCAGTAACTCACCGTTTTGCTGAAGAAAACAACATTTCTTTCAAATTTCTGCCTCCACACGCGCCTCATCAAGGTGGCTTGTGGGAACGAGCTGTTAGGAGTGCTAAGCATCACCTTCATAGAGTAATCGGTGGCCAAATCCTGACTTATGAAGAATTCATAACTCTCGTGTCACGTGTCGAAGCAATATTAAATTCAAGACCGCTTACCCCTCTCTCTGGAGATCCGAATGACTTAGAGTCTCTAACCCCAGGACACTTTTTAACTGGTGGACCTCTGAAATCCATGGTTGAACCTCAATATGATGAAACTTCTTGTAACCGCTTGAGGAGATGGCAATTAGTTCAGGCATTCTCTCAACACATCTGGACTCGATGGTCCCAAGAGTATCTGCATACTCTACAGCATCACTCTAAGTGGACGAGTAAAACAGAGAACCTCAAGATTGGTGACCTTGTTGTTATTCATGAGCCTAACACTCCTCCCCTACAATGGAAACTTGCAAGAATCACCGCAGTATCTCCAGGAGCAGACGGAATTGTACGAGTGGTCCATCTACGCACCGCTACAGGGAAATTCAGTCGGCCAACCGTCAAAGTTTCCCTTCTTCCTACCAATTAATTCCTAAGCATTCCCTTTCACCCCCTTTCAATTTATTTTCATTTGTCTTTTCCCATTTTTCAGTTTTTTCATTGAACCAGGTTGGTTCAAGGGGGGCGATATGTTGGATATTTTAGGTTTCATGATTTTTAAATCGAGTCCATATTTATATTCTTCCGTTTCAAACAAAACCTAGCCCAAGTAATTTTCCGCTATTCAGCCGCTAACGAAGGTATGCGGCCTTTGCCCTCAACACTGATATCTTTCCAAACGACGCAGTCCACTGTCGTCCGCCGCTGAACTATCACCATATTTACTATCGTATATCCGCATCATCTTTTCAACATCCCGCAATTTTTACCTTTTTTTTTCTTTAAATTAATCAGTCTGTACAGTGCTAATAGAAGTGACAATAGTTTTGTTTTTATCCCAAGAAGAAATTATTTTTTGTTTATTTAACGGACAATTGTAATAGTGCAAGTAGGTCAACGTGTACATGGACAGTCCTCGTCGACGCCGCCATTGCCCAGTGCTTCAAGTCAGGTGGGGTACCCCAAACCAAACATCTCTTCAGCTTCACTAAGGTCTGTGACAGCAATTCAACATTGTTTAGCACTTTAAAAATTAGCCTAATTAAGACTGATTAATTTCATTCTATGTACATATTTTTCTTATTATACCAAACAATGATTGTCATGCAAATCACCTGTTTAAGAGTTTTGCTGGTATTGCTAACATAAGAGACACGGCGTCGATTGCACAATAAATTCCGTTTGCAACGATTATATAATTGTTTTAAGATAACCCTCCGGAAATTGCCAGATTTTTAGAATTGATTAAACGCTATTTTACCAAAAATTACAAAATAGTTAATCAGCTCTTCGTTTTGAAGTGCACTTTTGATGACGGTAATTTATGTTAATTGTGTAAGTATCTTTTGCGGATATTTTTCATCACGAATAGTAAAAACCCAAATTTTTGGAGGAAGATCTTTGCAAAGATTACGTAAATAACATAATTTAGCCGGTTTGAAATAATGGATATTAATTAATTGTAAAGCTGACCAGTACAAAAATATTTATTATAAAGTGTTAAGCAATATTTCAAATAAGAGGAACTATAAAACTCGGGTGTAAAGTATTAACAATTCAATGTAACAAAACATAATCACGTAGTAGGCTAGTATGCAAAAATAACCTGAATTGTTTTGTGGTTTTTGCTATTTTTAAGGTAAATTAACTTAAATATAAAAGCTAACATTGTTTGAAATTAACAGTAATACAATAGAACAACTATAACACATAATAATTGTTCAGAAATCAAGAATATCTTTTTACAAAATGCAGGGTTACATAACTGGAAAACGTCAGTACAACTACAACTAAAATATTGTTGTTGTTTGTTGTGTTGTAAATATTGTCGGAACAAATGTATCTATCTGAAAACAAACTGAAAATTGAAGCTAATAGAATATGTTGTACATTTTCCACTCACGTGCTCAAAACACCGCACGTGGAAAACGGTAGATTCTGGGGGAAAACTGACTTGAGACTTGGGGCGGGGACAATAGCAATCCCTCAATCAATTTGGTCCTCTCAACGGCAACTGTTGCCTAATCCATTGGCCTACAGTGGCGGATGCAGACAGGGGGCGCGCCAACTTCCCTTGGACATAAATGTTTAACTATCGGGTAGGCACAACGCGTAATAATGTTGGGCCTGGCTTACACTCTTGCCAAATAATTATTTACTTAATTGCCATAAATTGACAAATTTATGTAAGCTATTTTCCCTCATAACTGACTTAACCCTGGAAGTACGGTAGGCCTACATTTCACATAAGTTGCTTAAAGCAGCCGCTTCGACTGAATAAAGGACATATGCCTACTTCAGACTGTGTTGCGCTAGATCCTCCAGTTTACATGAACCACTGAACTAGGTTGAATTCGGTGTGGCCGTAAACTGATAGGCCTATATTCTAAGCTATATTCCATAACCTTAGTTGTTAATATTACAGTGTAATTGCATAATTGATTATTCTGGCATTGACTTTAAATCCCACGTATGTTGGCCTAATCTTTTCATCCTATTGTACTATTCATCCTATTCATCCTATTGTATTTTGAAGCTCTTTTGAGTGTGTTTCATAACAAAATTAATTTATATAAAAATAAAACCCAATATTTGTAGTCAATGTTTTTATATAAGTGAGGTTTGAGTGTTTTTCTCGATTTCTTTTTAAGGGAAATTGTATTTTTTGTTCTTTATTCTTTTAGTCAAAATACTAAAGGCTAGCTATAATGGTTTAGTAATAGATCACTTTATTTGGCTAAGGGCCGCTTTCCCCAAATCAAGTTAAACTCTGATCGTGGTTTAAACTTTAGTTCAACCTCAGATTCACTTTTTCTAAAATAATTTCTCTGTTTAAACTAGGTTTCAGTAAACCCTCCGGGTGAGGGTTAACACATCATACAGTGCATAGCCGAACTGTTTGTGGGAAATTGTTATCTCTATCACTGTCGCTGTCAAAATGTATCGTTTCTAGGTTAAATTTAAATTAATTGAACTGTCATAACCTAACCAAACCTGCTGATAATGAAAATATCGAATGAAGGTTTACTAATAACAAAAATAATTCTGTTCATAAAATAACATTATAAATGTCTCAAAATAAATTAATATTTTTTTAATTATAAAATTAAAATATCATAACCTAACCAAACCAACCAAACTTGCTGATAATGAAAAAAATCGAGTCACAAAGTTAATGCCTCCGGTAGGTTTCGAACAGGCTACCTCCGAATTATCAGCCCGGTGCACTATCCACTACACCACCGAGACCGATGGCTGTACTACGTATCGTTGCGGTAATGATGTTCGCTCGAGCAGTGGTGGGCGGTGGCGGTCTGTCAGCAAGGGTTTCTACCTGGTGATCTATGGGTTAAACCAGGAGATAGGAATAATAGCTTGATTTGTATTACCATAAAGTGACCCAGTTCGTGCTGCTACCTATTGGAAAAAGCCGAAATTACTAGCACTGTCGCGTGACGAGAGTACCTCGTCAAAGTGCTCTGTAGCATCCAGGCAGCTGGACAAGAACAACTCGTCGAAGTAGGCCATTGGGTTAAGTGGAATAATTGTGGCATCTCAGGATCAAAAAAGCTCTAAAAAATATAAATATGTGTCAAGTGCCATGGAAATTTGTGAATATTGTGAGTGTAAAATTTTGGGCCCTGCTCACTCTTTGAACCTTACATTTAATTGAATGTGCTCTTTTCTCCTTCCCTCTTAGGGAAAAGCCTCCATTTGTTTGTTTTTATAACTTATCTTTACTAAGTGGTTGATTCATGGGTTGTTGTATGTTAATTTAACTTAAATCTTCTCTATTTTTATTTCAGACCATTACCTAATGGTAGCGACACGACATTGGAACCTGATACTGAGGGACCCGATAGCGAGGCTAAAGGATCATTTAATTCTTCGATACTAGAAGAGAGAAACGATGAGTTTGTGTAGACTGTTGAAGATTGTATATTTTAAATGTGTTTTAATAAATTGTTTAAATTGTAATGCGATTTTCTTGTTGGACCTCTGACTTTAATTTATCAAATATTTTTTTAATTAACTTTTATTAATACAGACTATATAATGCAGTGCAGAATTTTAAACCTTCCGTTTTATTTTTATCTTTAAATTTAAATTGCACTGAACGTACAGTTCCCTATATATTCAAATCTTGAATGTCGACTCAAATAATATAAACTTAAATATTGTCAGTGTTAAGAAGTTGTGTTAAGGTACTGTTAGTTATTAGTTCTAATAATTAGCAGAATTATTGAATAAAGTAATAATAATTTTTTCAGTAAATCCCCCAAATTGTTTCAACAGTTTGACATAAAAAACCCCCACCGCAGCAAACCTGCCACTAAACAATTTCTATTTGTCTGAATTGATTTTTTATTAAGGCCATTTTAATAAGGTTTATAATGACTGCCTAGGATTGCTGCAATAAGGAAACTAATAAAGTGTATTTTTTGTAAAATATTACTGTAAATAGCTTAGTATGAAATGAATAAATTTGCCAAGTTTGATAAAAATATATTCATAATCACGCAAACTACAACATTTTACAATATTCTCCATAAAAATAACAGGAAATTTAAATTTACATTTTTAAAAAATTTCTCCGTTACCAATAACCTTTTAAAAACATTTTGATAAACAAAATTATTTCATATTTTTAAGCTCTTTAAAGAGGTCTAGAAATAAATTGAGAAATTTTGTGTTTTAGGGTCAAAAATTCGAACACCATTTTTTATCCTATACAATCCCGTTCCCATGGTCCGATCATGCTGATTCCCGAACTTATTCAAGTTTATCCCGCCTTACAACTTTAAACCAAATTTAATCTAAATCGGACACAAATTACTCAAGCTATTGCGTCGCGTTCACGGACGCATTCGTTCGCGGAAAACACCATTCGTTCAAATTTTTATGTATATATATATATATACATAAATTTGAATGAATGGTGTTTTTGGCCTCCGGGAACATCAAAATGAAAAAGTAAATCGGTCCCGGGCCTATGTCTTACTGTGCCACCTACGGTAATAGACTACTATAGGGAAATTTGCTAAAAGTGAATGATAAAAAAACAATAATTTTATATTCTTATAAATATTGTATTTTTATGTGTGTACAGATAGAATTAACTAGTTTCTACCTTAACGTTTTCAGGAAATTCTTCAGCACAGTGCTAGTTTTGAATCTGATATCAAAAACCAGGTGAATAATATTTTTCAGGGTTTTAGCATACATACTTGATACATGCATGATACCTAAAAAGTACCTAAATAACATTTGAAATTTTTTTGTTTACCTATAAGGTAGGTATCATATAGGCTTCTATCAGGTAACAGGTACATATTTGATATGTATTGATGATACCTAAATAGTATTTGAGATGGTCATTTTCACTTATTAGATAGGTATTTAAAAGGTATCATATAGGTATTGCAACGT